TTTTATATACTCGGAGGAAGGTTTGTTGCGGGTTTAACAAAAATTTCTTTATACCCCAGACATCAGAATAGGTCAGTGCTAATTTAGCGAACTTACATGTGGGGCTTGGGCACAGGGTCGCAGCAAATTTGTTCTCGTGTTTCAAAAGCAAGATTGCACGAACAAGAAGTAGATAACAGAAATGCCGACGTTTCGGAGACTTTTTATCGTTTAATCGTAGGTCAACCTCCGATAAGATTTGATGAGCTTCAGGTCCTCTGACGTAAAACGTTTATTTTATTAGAGGCTAAACTCCGGGCGAGAATTCGTCTGCATCCGGAGATAGGGATTAGAATGGAAAGTGATTTTGTGGCCGTCTCAACTTTTCCTGAAATCTTGGCTTTTGCAACCGTAAATTTATGTTTTGGGGCCGAACGTCGTGGTCGGGAGGTCCCGGGTTCAAGCCCAGAGACCGGCTGTCATGTTTTTCATGGGTTTCCTCAGTCCCTCCAGGCACGCCTTCCACATCCTTTCACAATTTATTATTCACTTTCATCCTCTCGTGCGACGTCGTTAAATGAAACAAGAAATGTTGATCGATCGCCTCTTATGTCCTGTAACCCTCGGCTCTTGTAGTTCGGATTAAAGAGCTTGAGATTTGTTATCAGTAAATGAAGGACTCCGAGTCCGACCGTTCCTTATTTATGGCCTTGCTTTGTGTTCGCTCTCGTACCTTCCGCCTTCAACCATTTACAGCTCTCTGGTAATTATGTGTACCGCGCGCTTCGTCATTCATTAACTCTTTATTTTGCAATATTTGCGTATCTCAGTGCAAACAGCGATTATTTCCTTAAACAGCGTTAACCAGTTGATCTTTGTAATGGTGAGGCGTTGTGTTTTCTTCGCGGTACGGACTGAATTCTTAAATATAATTTAAAGGAGTCTCTGCTCCAAATGGTTAATTAATTATCAGAATAAATTATATTATTTCCTTAAACAGCGTTAACCAGTTGATCTTTGTAATGGTGAGGCGTTGTGTTTTCTTCGCGGTACGGACTGAATTCATAAATATAATTATTTAGACGAGCCTCGGCTTCGGGAAGTTACCCTCCGCCCCCGTATTTTTCAAGCTTCTCGGTTCTGCTGCAACGTGAGCGATTTTAAAATGTCCTGGCTCACGGCCACACATTCACGATGAAAGGCACGCCAGGGCCGTTGTCCGAACGAGGTCGTGCGTTTGGACCGGACACATTGAACATTCTCGATTGTGTGTTAGTTCCGGCTTATCGCAAACTGACGGACAGATTCATGACTATTTGAAATTAATTGTCGTTGGAATCTTGCCCGGGGGGAGTAGACCCTAAGACTTGAGGCTGTCCCCGACTGGTCATTGGCTGTTTGGCGATCGTAGAGAGAGGACACTAGTTTCTGAAATCCCACCGAGACACTAATGTGAACACGACCCGGCGCTGACAGACACTAACCAGAGGTCGATAGCCAGTCGTTGCATATTTTACGCTCAAAAACTATTTTTCTGAAGCCCAGTACAGAACCGGATGCTTTATTTTCGCGCGAGAGTTGTCTCCTGTTGAACTCCTTCAACGCTTTGAGTTTCGTTCTGACCGCTCAGGCTGAGTTGGACGCTCCTCCGGGACTGAACGCGTAACGCGAAAGTTTGCCTTGAGGTTACCCACCTCGCCGTATTTGCGGATTCCATTGGCCGAAGTCTTGGAACTCGTTTCAAATTTCTCTCGGCTTGTGGCTTACTTCTATCTTGCTGGACGTTGCCAATGCCAATGTCTCTGTTGCCGTCTTCAGGAGACTGGTTGTCGCGTTACTATTCCCAACTGATATTACAAATACATTGGCGCCGAAAAAATAGTGGCCTCTCGGTATGTTACGTCTGCGCGGGCATCGCATCAACTGGTTTCGTTTTATTCACAGCCACAGGAAACCTCCTCGACAGTGGATACATTTTGGACAGTCTTTGCCGTGTGTCATTTCGCCTTGAGACTGCTCGCACGGAGTTATGCAACCCGTAATTAAAACCAAACACTCTTTTTAACACTTCCAGCGTCGGTCAATACGCGTGTGACGTCATAGGCCATAAAACGCACGACGGAACCCGTCAGTAAAGTTTATTCCTCTGCAAACAACATCTAGCCGGCGTCTGCGTGTGTCTGAATTTATGAATCCCTAAAAGTTCTAAGTGTTTCGGCTGCTGGACCAGCGGTCATCTTCAGGGCGAAAATATCTGAGATGCGCTAGACTGCAGTAGACGCCTGACGGATCATTTCCTGTCCGTATTTCTATCTTTATCGTCATTTAATTTGATTCTAGTGTTCCAAATCGTTGCAGACCGGTTTTGTGACGTGTTCATGGTGACCTTTTGTGTTGCGGAGTTGCATAAAATAAGGTTACGGTTAAGCAAAGGCCTTTCTGTTCACTTACACGCATTTTAATTAGCATAACGCGACTTCTTGTACGCCATTTTGGTTATTATTCTGTACGCAGGAATGGATTAACCCAGCAAGGGACGATGTCTTTTGCGCCTGCGCAGAACTCCCGCCTTTTGTTGGCATTTTGGTTGGTTGGTTTGTATTGTAGAACTAAATAAGCGATACGTTTGTGACGTAGATATTAAAATCACAGATTATAATCGCGAAGGAAAAAGTTACCGGAACATAGCCCGTCAGTCGAATCCAGTGCAGTTTGCTGACGCGTAATGACAGAGAAATGTAAATTGGTTGGTAATAAATAACTCGGTTTAAATACGAAGCGCCCTCTTTAAATGCTACTCACATCTCCTCGCGACTTTCCGCACCTTCGAAAGGAACGCGGTGTTTCCAGCTCACGTATCAGTCACAGATCAAAGCAGGCCACGTTTTAAGGAGTGGAACGAAGACGATAAACAGACACGTAGCAGACTTCTTTTCCCCGCAGTGAACGGTGGTAACAATTACGTGGGATCCCAACCCTTGCCATCAAAACGCTTTAAGACACGTAAATGGTAATCAGTAATCCGGTTGTCACACGGTCATTGGACGATCAGTCAGTTCCCACAACACTGGGCTAGTTATCCCCTCCACTGCGCACAGGAACCATGTTGCCAAAGGTGTGCCAACATTACGACATGAAATACTTTTCCCACCTTAAAATTACGCGACGCTGCGTAGAGATTCTGGTACGTCTGATCTGTCACGAATAACATAAAACTGGCGGGGCAGATAAATCTTGACCGAAATCAGTTCAGCGGTTATGAAGTTACTGTGTCTGATCTGACTCAGTATAAAACTAACCTCTAAAAATAACAGTAGTGCATTGGTCACGTGTTTTGTTTTTTTCGCGAACTATGTGTGTAACTTTTGTTCGAAAGAAGTCTCTTAATTAAGAACATGAAAGTTTCGAGGCTACGAATTGAGTCATCGTAAAGAATTACAACATTCTCCATTGTCTTGTTTGTTTGTACAGCACAAGAGGGATACCTGAGGCCCAGTTTTGTATTTTCCCATTCTTCCTGTATTGTCGAGTTTTTACGAGCGTCCACAGGCGTCACTAGCATACAAAGCCGAGAACCACTAACCAAGCTCTGTGGCTCTTATACGTAAATCAATATTTGACTGTTATCCCACGACTTCGAAGCAGACTATTCTCCCCCCTGATAATGATCGTACGTGATTAATGATACGTTCTTCGGAACTTAGAAGTGCTGTTTTGTACTTAGATCGTGGGAATCAATTATAGCAGTGGCCCAATTTCGAGGATTTCGCCAGTAAGAATACTCTCCAATGGCGTACGAACTCATTTAACAGCGCCTCTGCTGTCACAATAACCAATTAACCTTACGTACAGTTCATCTGTCAAATTAAAATTTACCCGACGGAAGTTAAGACACTATCGCAAAATGTTCACTGTTTATCCATCTTAGTGTTGTGGATTGAAGTACCAACAATTGTGCCACGTTTTTATTTGCTGAATCCTGACAATGGATCGCTGGCTCAAAGCAAGACGTTGGCAAGGAAAATGTCAAATATGGATCAACAGATGGCGCCACAGGTGTTTTTTGTATCAGGCAACAATTAAAAAAGGATACTAAATGCTATGAGAGCTATTTCCTTGTGTGTTTTGCGCTACAAACTTAGGAAAAACAGTATTTCCATTGTTACCACAAAATTACGACGGCAATGTTCATTGCCCAAACGAAAACTTTACGTCTTTGTAATACAACTGAAGTATTTTCAAACTAGTCCCGTCATTATTCATTCGTTCTGTCACGTTGATCGTTGTTGTTCGGTGAGGTTTGTAATAATGGCTTCAGAGTTACGTTGTGTGGCCCGTTAAAGTCGACGGAACTGAACCTTGGCACAGAATTTATAATTTTTTTTAACAATTATATTAAACGTGCGTTACAAACATTGGCAACTTTTTAGCCGAGGGTAAATTTCGCTTTAAAATTTTTTCAGTTCGTAAAATAATCGGGGGTATGAGATGTATTGAATGTGAGTTCATTAGACGGATTAACAACAGTCGAAATAAACCGGTTTGAAACTTTATGGAAAAAGTAAACATTAAAAAAAACTGTTTTAGTCCCAAATGAGCGCGGATGTAGGCTGACATTTGATACTTACGAGAAAGTGGAGGTTGAACTGAAGGTGACGGAGGCAGGTGCCTGAATCCAAGGTCATCCGTCGACGAGGTTATGGTTGTAACATCAAGATAACAGAGTTCAAGAATTTTCAGAGCTCGATCCCAGTTGCACGATGAGGTCGAGAGGTTTTAGGTTCGATTGTCCGTCTTTATACTGACAGCCTTTACTCGGGTTACTTGTAATCCTAATCCTGGGGTCTCGGGTCAATTACTGCATTCACACACAGAAGAAGGCAATGGCAAACCACTTCTGGATCATCTGCCAAGAACGTATATGAACAGGTCCCAGTCCGAGAAAAGGATGGAAGGATCCTGTTCATATGGACCTGTCGTCACACAGAACACTAAATAAATAAAAAATCTGCGTGTTTTAGCCTCGGGGTCTGGTTCTGTGATTGGGCGGGATTCACTGCCGCCCAGGGCACTACAGCAGCAGATTAAAGATATATCGCCTCCCATCATCACCCTGACAACAGAGGAGAGGGTGCAGGAGGACGGCGCACCGAACGGTCAGGCCAAGAAGGCGAGTCCTCCGTCGGGTGGTGTGAACCACCCCGCTTTACCCAGCAGCCCACAGGACGGAGGAAACGTGGAGCCGTCCGACCCCATCGAGAGACAGGGGAAGAGGGTGAGTGAGATAGAATTAAGTTCACGAAACTTGGCATTGAAGTCACTTCGACGCGAGTTTGACAAAGTTTGGATTTGATTTTCAGTTTAATGAAGAAACAATCTCTAAATAGAGAAGAATTGTTTTATTTGGTGCGTGTGATGTATTGAGAACATCACAAAGGGCGCGGAACTTTTGTGGGGAAATCTCTTGTAAACCAACAACTTGGATGACCAAGGAAGGGGTTTATAATAGTATTAAAATTTATTTTAATGAAATAGTTGTGAAGGATTTCCTCAAAATCACGTTCGAATGCTGGCTTTAGTATTAGCAGTGTCCGTTTCCAGAAGACCACTCGGTCGGGTTAGTCATTTAACCGGCTGAACTACTACCAGCGTGTAATTTCTTCATCATGATCATTTCATGGTGTGCAGAGCAAAATATTGGTACACATCGAAGGAACGTCTTTCACATTTAAAAGAGAGATTAGTAGCGAGTAAGGAAGACGTTCAAAGAACCTCCAGTTGTATCCGTCCGCAGATCAGGAGAAAATCCCTGCTAGGAATTCGATATACGCGCATGCGCAAGATTTCGCGACGAGTGACGACCGATCCTAAAAGCATTCGTTCCACAACCACTGAACGAACAACAGGCGACAGGCTTTCATGTGTTTTAATGGGTACAGCTTTAAGATTACCTCACAGTGGCACAGCGATTTAATCTAGAATATTATCGCAACACCAACAGAACACATTAGAGGTACACTCACTACAGGCTACTCTTAACTGCTTGATGTTTTCAGTCTGTGTAGTAGCGTAAAACTCTGACTTATCACACTTCCCACCAATAGCAGCCCTCTAGTCCACCAGGCGGTAAACATTCCCCCCGCACCGCACCAGAAACGACTTCCCACAGCACGGTTTTTCTCGTCATCTGCGGACCGTAGTTTAGTCGCTCAGAACTACCAACCGTCGCCAACCACCTGTTTGGTGACAGTCTCATTCTAGACGTTGATAAATATGGGCTGAAATATCCTTTCACATTGGCAGCCATGAGATGATTCTCGAATCTATGAGAATGTAATGGGACAATGGAATATCGTTTTGTTTTGTGAGTGTTTTGTCTTGTTTAGGAACAAGTAATTTATCGTGCATAGCTCATGTGTGTCTGTCACTACCCATCAAGAGGAAACTGTAATGTAATATTAAAAACAGAACCGGGGCGGTGGTGGTGGCAGCGGACCGTGGGGTATGAATGTCTCGGCAGGGGAGCTCTTGGGCAGAACCCATGAGGAGCTCGTTCTGTTGCTGATCCAGCTGAGACGCCAGAGTGCAGGAGTGTGTAAAGCCATGGAGACGTGTCACGTTGAAATTGAGGCCCAGGTTTGTCTTGTTGACAGGGGTGGTTCAGGTGGTGGCTGCTAGTACATTGTGCTTGTGACCTGCGATGGTAGTAACAACTTGTACGTAATCCACGTGTATCAAACAAATGTTTCATCATTGCAAAGGAGAATTAGTTACACTTTTTACGTCTTGATCTTTTATGGCGGATGTGAAGTGTAATTTTTTTTTATTGTGACGAAAGTGTGGATCGTCATATTTCGGTTTACGATACCGTCTAGTCTGGTTAGTGTTTACCAAAATTTTTGATTTACAAGCTGTCGCCATCGTCAGGAGTAGAAATTAAATATTCTGTTGGATATATTTTGATGAAATGTGTATTTGAGCTACATTGTGTAATATTTTTCTGAAGCATTTTGGAATTAATGTGTATTTAACAGAAAAAAAAGTCTTCTTAGATCTCTTTAAATACTAATCATGGCGCATCCCTTTGAAAGCTTTTATAGTCTTGATTGGCTGGTTTTGTCTCACCTGGAACTAACACTTCTTCGAGCATTTCCTTCGTTTACAGCAGTTTGGGACATTTATGAGCAGATGGAGGCTATACTTGATTTTAGATTTCTTAGCTGACTAGGTTTAAATGCCAGTTTTCATGCCCTTTGTATATAAAATTATTATGTTGAAAATATCGGGGAGAAAAATTTTCAAAATTGCAAAATACCTTAGTAGACTTTCAGGGTGTGTAGCAGCCTTCTGGTTCAAGAGGACAACTCCTCTTTTCCTCTATTGCTGCTGAGAAAATGTCCTTTGTGCTCTGGCGATGAACTTGTCTTCCTGCTTATTGCGTTCTTGTAGTAATTGTTCCTGTCTCATACAACTTTAATTACATTTCCAGGTTCTTTAAACAGACCAGTAGCTTCTGTGTGAGTTTGTGCATATTAATATTTATGTAAAAAGTGGGAAAGCAGACCCAATGTTCATGAACAGAATCTGCGTTCTCCGTATGTTCTGTTGCATATCACGACACGTAGTTTGATTGTGATGAAGTAGCATTTTATTGTTTGTGGATTTGTCTTGTAGAAGATGTTTTGATATTTACGTGTTCCTTAATGTAAAAATGTAAGATATTTATCGACCACTTCATGACACTGTATGTACTGAGGATATTATTTAGGATTAGAAATTTACCATTGTTTCAGAGACGCTTGCTGCCTCCATCATCAGGGTGATGAATCATGATGACGGAGGCACCGCGCACCTCTGAAACGCTGATAAACTTCTACGACACTGCTCTTATGAGAACTTCATGTCTTACTTATTTTATTTTGAAACTTGTAAATAAATTATAAACGTTTTAAGGCTTTCCTGGTGATGAATGCAGTGAGGCCTTTGTGCAAGTACGGAATTATTTTCGGGTGTTTGAGAGAGCAAGTAATTGCTCGCTTAGCCAATAACTTGAGGAGGCTTTATGCAAATGAATTAGTAACAGCCGGATTCGTGTGGATAATGGAATGATTTCAGATGGGAACATTTAGTGTACTTTTTCCTGTGGATAGTTTTGTTTCCCCTCCATCAGTCACATTGGTTATTCGTCCATTGCAGGCCACTCTGGCCAACGTGTGTGTGAAACCTTCACTCCTGGTTCAAGCTTTCAGTCGTCTCTTAGCACTGGCTGGAAAGTTGGTTTGGTTTTAGTGACAAGCGTTTGGTAATTATGCTCCGATGCATACGGATAATTACTTTCTGTGTTATCAGCATTTGTATATAACTGTAATGGTTAGTTTCTGTATGTGTAATTGCTGAATTTTTTATATAAAATACATGTAGACTGTTTTTATAAAATACATGTAGACTGTATTTTTATAAAATACATGTAGACTAATTTTTATGAAATACATGTAGACTGTAATTTTTATGAAATACACGTAGACTGTATTTTTTATAAAATACATATAGACTGTATTTTTTATGAAATACATGTAGACTGTATTTTTATGAAATACGTGTAGACTGTATTTTTTATAAAACACATGTAGACTGTATCAGGCATGTTGTATTATACCATTCTTCACTCCACTGACAAGAAAGACCGAAAGTCTTGGAAGAAGCCGTCTCCGCCACGCATTGATTACCGTTACATGTGTAGGTACTCGTCAGTTATTGCGGTGGTGGGAGTGACCTAGTACCAGAGTCAGAAATGTTTGTATAATTTATTAAGTTCATTTAACGTACTTGCATTAAGGCTCGTGTTCAGTGACACGCAAAATCATACAATCATTAAACTATAAAGTAAAGGGATCGTACGCGCTTCGTTCTAACGTTGCAGATTTAACAGAATTTTAGTAAAATTGAATAAAAGCTACAGATAAATGGCAAGAGGGAGGAGTCTGGTTTCTACTGACAAATAATTGAGCCAGTGATTTTTTGCATCAACTGGGAAAAATCACAAATTCGCACCCCTTGGATCGTATCGCATGATTCAACCGTTTAACCAGAAGGAAATTTGTTTAGATCTTTAAGCAGTAATGTTGCAAGAAACTGATCCTTTATGAAAACTGTAACTGGTGATGAGACATCTTTCAGTACGACCCAGAAATTGAAAATGCCAAGTCTTCGTTGGGCGAAATGGTTGCCGAGCGACGGCTTTGCTCAGATTTCTTAATAAACCCAAGAGTCTCTATGTATCTGCAGATGTTTAACTGAATATTTTATATTAATGGTCAGCTCGCATCTTGTGAGCGCCATGAAAGCGTATACCGAATCAAAAAATTCATTCATTGCTGCAAGTTCTTATATTTTCTTGAGATTCTTAAAGGAAAATAGAAGCTTTTTACATTGCACAATTACAAAGAAATTTTGATACTACGTAACCTATGCAGTTGATACAGTGTCATGAATTGGCCCAGTAATAAATCATTACTTAAATTAATGTGATATTGGTTACAGAACAGGCATACTTTTGATTTATACATTGTGTTCAGTTGGAAATGAAACTTGAGTCCCGTACATACCAGCGTCTACTGTATCAATCTCGGCTTACTGCACAAAACTTTGTAACTTAATACTGTAAGAGGATGACAGAATTACAGACTTCATTACAACGAAAAGGCTTGAAACGTGGCCCCATGTGATACCTGCCTACGCACGAGCTGCTCAAAGATTGACTTTCTCTTGGTGTCGTGAGGTTTCATCCTCAATTGAATGCTTCGTATATCGTAGGTTCCAAGACACGTTCCTGCGATGACGTCCAGCGTAATTCATTCCAGCACTAACACATCTTTCCTAACCCTTAAGTGAATCAAATAGATTCAGCACCAGAACAGAATATTCATGATTTGTTTAACGTAATCCTCTCACTGTTTAATTTGTTGATGAGTTCCGCAAACTTGCGATAAAACTGAGGGCAGACTTTTTTTGGTATGACGAATGCTGTTGTCAGATATGTCTGCAGTTGTTACAAAAGAAAGATGATTATTTATGAGAAAAATCTGTGATTAATAACTCAAATTCTTCAGTGAAAGGGTTAAAAAGGGATTTTATTGTTGTGTGTGTCTCGCAAATTTCACGATAGTTTTAACAGATTGGCACATCCTTTAAATGGCTCCGTGGACGAAGCGAGTAGCGGACGGAGAAGCAACCTCTGGCCATATGCTACAGATCTACGACGCTAGACTCCAGTGGGTTAATATTGATTGTATATCAGAGACATGCTCACTTACACTTATGTTAATTTCTGTCTTTGATTCTTTAAAGTTAATGAGAATTACATCACATGAGATTGTGCATCTGTCATCTGATGTATCTGTATTTTGTGTTATATTAGAGGCTGTAACACCCTTCACGCTGAAGCTGGAAACTGTTTAATCCCAGCACTAGATTGTACCGTGACGTTAGAAAGGATCTGAAATATTCTCTGTGTAAAACTATTTCAGGCTCGTCTCGCAGAACTGGAAATACCCAAGAGACTGGAACACTTGCAGAAACTGGACGAGCTTAAGAGACACCTCCTTGACCTAGAGAAACAGGTAACAGCGTCGGTGGAGCGGAAAGTTTTAATCGATGACTCGTAAATTTTTTTTAAAAAGTTAATTACAGACGCAAACTTTATTACATATAAATATGACTACTTTATTGTGAACCATTCTGTAGTTAGGTGCTTCCTATGTAGCTGACATTTGTATTTCAGTTTTTGCGTTAGGTTATGAAAGGAAATCAAATAAACTTTATCGTCGAATAGCAATTTTTATACCAGATGCTCTGTTAATGGTGAGTGCGCACAAAAGTTGTTACAAACAGTTATGAACAGTAATAATATATAAAATATGTTCCGAAATGGAAGGACAGGATTGTCGACAGACGGATCTTCATTTTTTTTATATAGTTTATTTAACGACGCTTTCAAGTCAATGAGAGGGTGAAAGTGAGTAATGAATTGAAAAAGACATAAAAGGAAGTAGCATTTTCCTACAGCGACTGAGTAATACAGCAGAAAATCTCGGTGAGGATAGACGGTCTCTGGGACAGAATTTGAACCTAAACTAACCTCCCGAGTACAAAGCAGACGAGCTTACCAATCAACTGTGCCATTCAGTAACACATGAAATGAGGGATGTGCAGGTTCCATCCTCAGGTGAGATTAAAAATATATTTTATGTAAGGCAAAGAAACTTGCCGCAGTTACACTTTTTCACCAAGCTTTTCCTTCAACTTCTATTCTTAAAATAGGTAATTTTGTTATTGGTCGGCGTGTTCAATAAACTTTCAGTACGAGAAAGGCAAGCCGCTCGTGAACCTGGTGGACAACATGGTAAAGCTGGGGTCTCTGTACCGTGGTTCTGGCGTGCCACTGCACCCTGGAGCGGCAGGCCCCGGTGATGTTCACAGCGTTCGGGAAAGGCTGGTGTTCAACCAGAGAGTGCAGGAGCAGAGATTGTTGGCCGAGGAGAGACGAGACTGGGACAGAGTGAGCCCTGATCGTGGACAGCTGCAGGCAAGTTCGGGAAATGCCAAATATGAAAGAAACGCGTTACGAGCGATGGGGCATTCATTAACTCCTCGTGTAGGCAGTTTAAGTGAAACACTCACATTTATTAAAAGTTAATAGAAATTTAATAACAAATGAACGTACTTTGATGGGTAGGATTTGAGATTCTCGCGGTGGTGAGTAGCACCACGTAGTCTGGTAGACATTTACCAGTGTTTCAGAGGGCCTTGCTGCCTTCATCAGGGTGCTCGGCAAGGACCTCAGGAGACGGCCATCTTCGTACTTAAGGAAAGATTAAGAAACTGGTTTATAATGAAATAATCCAGTTTTGTGACTTTGGCTCTTGTCCACTGCAATTTTGCCTTTTTCAGCTGTTAAGTAGGACCCTGCGTTGTTTTACTGCGGTGGAATAATAGTTTTTTGTTGGCCCAAATCCGTAAAATTTGGATCAGTTTGCATGTTCTGTCATAAGCATCGATTCTGTATGATATTGTTTCTTCCTCGTGTAGAATTCCAGAAATGTCGAAAAAAATTGATCGGAACGTCAACGCTTGGAATCATTCGTAAGCGAATTATCGACTGTTTCTTATCTTGACATCTCGGGGAAGCGAACGGACTTGCCGATTAGCACTCCCGCTTTGCGTTTCGGAGGTCCCAGCAATGAATCCTGGCCTTTAGACCGGCCGTGCACTCTGAGGTTTTCGTGGTTTTCCCAAGTCCCTCCAGGCAAGTTCTGGGATTTTAGAATATCTGCACTTCTGTTCCCCAGGCCAAAGTTCAGGAGCTGTATCGACTTGATCGCCTCCTGCAAGAGGAATCTGGCACGCTACAGAGTCTACAACAGGACAAGGTAAGCAGCTTCATGCTCTCTGGTCTTGGCATTATCACATTCTACTCACCAAGCAGAGCTTTGTTTTTCGAGTACACTCAAAATATCTGGTGTAGTCGTATTGTTTGTGTTGTTACGTCCTTCCATCGCTCCCCGCGATCTCCTTACAATAATGTTGCCGTACTTTCTCGTCTGTAGTTGGAACAGATAGTCACGTTTTGTGTATATTAGGCTGTCGGGGTTCGATCCCCGAGGGGGGCAGAGGATTTTGTTTTAGCCCCTAGACTGGCTGTGGGGCGAACCTAGCTTCCTGTACTTGGGGCCCTTTCCCCGGGAGTAAAGCGCGGCCTGGACTAGATTTTGACACTTACCTGTCTAGTACCGAGGTTGAGAATGAGTAAGATCGGTACTGACTCTCCTCCTGAGCGCCTACGTGGGTAGCCAGAGAAATAAGTGAAGCTTTTTGTAAAAATGGAAGTGTTATCTTTTTTTTAAGATTTCATTGCCAGACTGTCACCCACTGGTTGTTGCTCAGGAACTGTTGGAGAAGGCGCTGGGTGGTCTGAGGCACAAACTGCAAGGGAGTCGGACCAACCCCGCCGAGATCGAGAGATACCGCAAGCAGCAGCGCCTCCTTGAGAAGGAGCTCAGTCGCATCAGATTACTCCTAGCTCACAACTCCAAGGTGAAGTAACTGAAGTTCGCCGTTTGCGGAAGATGTTTGTAGTTGCTCACCGGTTTTTTAGCTTAGCATATCACAAAACAAAAATGTTTGGATAAATGTAATACCTACCCTACGAATCACTGAACTTTAAGGGATACTAAACTAATATTTTCCCTTGAGTCATTCTCTGTTATGATTGGGTCTGATTGACTGCATGGGATTACGACCTGGCATTTGAACCCTTCTAACACAGGAGAGTACAGCGGACCATGTCTACAGCTGCTTCAATGTAATTCAGTGCAATATTTTCTAGCCGTATCAGTCTTCTTCCCAGTCCTCGCTCTTCCCCCCCCAAAATGGTTTTAACTGTTGGCATTCATGGTTTTTAAAGGGCTGTGTTTTTCTATGTATTTTAACCATAATATTTTTGTTTTAAGTTGTTCGTAAATATTGGCTTTATAAGGTGTTGATGAACAAGGTTGTTTTAATCAGAATCTTATGGTGACTATGACGTGGGTTTATATTTTGAAGCAAATGTAAAGCATCAACACGATGACGGTCCTGTGAGGACCGAAACTCGTCTGTTTGTGTATCAAATGAACCGTATTAAAAGGTACTTGGCTTGTGTAATTTGCACTGAATTGATGTTTCAATTCAAGCCGATTCTCAGGATGGCTGCTTATGCGTTGGTGTTAAAGTTTATGGCTTGAACTGTGAAAGTTTTTAAGATGCGATGACTGGTCTCCAGGCTGAATTCTTTAAACCCAAGACGTCCCAGATTTGCAGCAGTGATGCTAAACATTAGGTCATTACATTTGGTGAAATTTTAAAAGCAGCGATGGATCTGCAACAGTGCAGTTCAACCCTAGATTAGAAACACCTTCTCATGTTTCGTTTCTTGGAAAGATAATTGACGTTCTATTCTGGTAAGTCGTGCGTTCAGTCGTGAAGTCGCAGAGTTCAAAGTTCACGTATTAATTGACTGTAGAAACTGGAAGAGACGGTTGCGGAGAATGCGAGGTTGGAGCAGGAGCTGGTAGTTCTGCGCCAGAAACTACAGGCTTCACGACGGGGCTCTCAGCAGCCCCAGCAGAGATCCGCCGCGAGTCTGGTTCCCGACTCGGCTTCGGTGGGCGCGACGGCGGCTCTCGAGGCAGAATTGCGTCGAGTGCAGCAGCTCGCCCATCCACCCTCCGACTTTCATCTCTTTGGGCCACTTAAAGATGCTATCCGCGGAACAAGGTTTGAAGATGACGAGAGCGTTATTCAAGCAGTGAGGACATGGCTACGTGCACAGGACAAGAGCTGGTACCGGCAAGGCATGCATGCACTTGTTCCACGCTGGCGTAAAACCGTACAAGTTGATGGGGACTATGTGAAAAAATAGTATGTGTAAAGGAAACATTGATTTATATTGTCACTAAATTTGAGCCATCTTGAATAAATATGTTCTGAGGAAAAAAATGTGGGGCATTACTTAATGAGCGACCCTCGTAGATGTACTTTTATACTTGCGAAACATTATTTATTCATTTGCAGAGTAGATGTATTGCACTTGCCTTAGAAATTTTGTGGCATTTATTTTAAATTTTGTAATTATTTAGTGTTTTTTATATATTTTGTGAAGACAAAGTTGGTTAGAATGTATATGCAGTAAGATTGTGGCTGTTGTAATCCGTGAGTCTTGTTTCAGTCTATTGGAGAATTTGGTGTGTGATTTAATTATGTTTAGGTGCAGGTCCTATACCTGGCAGAAAGCGTCACCACAGCACTTGGCTGGAGACGGATCTCGATTCACTGGTGTCGCTAGACCACGGCCTAGATTCACCAGCTAGTCCACAACATCAGACGTCACCACCCGGCATCAAGATTCAACCAGCTGCTGACGGCTCTTCCCAAGCCCCTTTATATGTCAACACTGACGCAAATTCCATGAGAATAGGTAAATATCCAGATCCCATAATAATAGCAGATACCAGAGGATATGTTAGATACATAAAATAAGGATCGAGAGGCATGCTCCCAGTTTCGATTCCACTGATTACAAGAAATATAAATTTTTAGACAAAGTTTATGTAAAATACGTGAAACGTCCCTTTATTTCCGTTTGTGAGAAGCGTCCGTTAAATATCCTGTTTTCTGACGCCTGTGGTATGAAGAATGGAAATTTGAATATTTGAACCAGGCAGTCGAGGGGGTGGCGTAGCATCCCAGCGTCTTAACGTCGATTCTTGATCATCATTATGTGCAGTCACTTCTTCAAACGCGCGCTGTTCAGGTGTTTTATTTTGTCGGAACTCGCATTTGAACCTGACGATGGCCAGATTGCGCTGAGGAAGTGCCTGTTCATAGTAATTATCAAGAGTCTTGGGGGGGGGGCCCCCTGGCGAAACCGCGATACCAAGAAAATATTTATACTTGTGTTACAAAATCAAGAATTTCTGATTGTGCCGCCACATTTCTTTCCAACATTTCATTATTATTATGAGTTGATTAATCTGTCTTGTGGTTGCTCCTACTTCAAAAGTGAATTCCGCTATTTCATCAAGGAGGCAGAAGTCTGAATTGTGCATGCATTACCATCATCATCGTCATCAAATGTGACGTACAAGAAACTACAATGACTTAGAATATGTGTTTGGTGTTTTGGTGGTAAAATTAACAGCGGAAAATTGACTGGATATAATTTGTGTCTCCTAAAAATTTTAATTTGGTTTTATTTTCCGCTGTACCTTTGAAATTGAGTCACTTTTTCTTCTTCAGTTTCTGTTTTTGTGGCTGAACTGCATTCTCTAACTTTGGCTTTTAGGGATGGGCCACATTGAATTTTTGAACTTATGCAGTGTTTTGGTGAACATTGCAGCTGCCATCTTCATGGCGAATATGTGTTGGTTGGGCATTTTTTGGAAGCCTTATATAGGACAGGCAGTAGACAGTGAGTGGGATATGATGGATCTGGGAGAGTGGGCCTTTCCAGAACCAGATGGCGGAGAAGAGGCGTAAAAGAAGTTTTTGGTGACCCTGTGAAATGGAAAGGAGATGTCATAAAATTGTTTAGTAGTCGCACGGGGAGGATAAGAGATGGAGTTTGTTCAGTCGCTGTTTGGGGTCAGAGGTGGTGGCTTGCGTTGGTGGCGAAGCCACACTTTGCTTAATCTGTAACCAACGTCATAGTTGAAGTTGTAGGGATTTTTGGTTATTTCAGTTGCTTCCCTGATTACGCTGGTGCAGTAGGTGTAGCTTCTGTTTAGTGTAGTCAGTGCTGCGTTGAGCTGCTGCTCCGGTCTCGAGAGTCTGACATGTTCCGAGATCCCGGTGAAGATGTGACGGCCTGTCTTGGCCAATGTTTGCCGTACCACAAGAGCAGGGGAACGGTGGACCCTATGAATATCCGAATTTTTGAGTCTGAAGCTGTCTGTCTTTGTTGGATTTGAATCTTGGTGCCATTTTGTCGAGTGCTTTGTGTTTGGCATGGCTGTCGTATGTCTTTAGTAACTTTTTTTAATTTGATGAGTGGTACAAGGTGTTTCTTTTTCTTTCTTCCCCTCTCCCCCCTTGGTACATTTCTTGGCTGGTCTGGATTTGTATGTTCTGTTGACGTCCTGCAGGGGGCAGCCATTGGCTCGGAGAACAATCTCTGCATGTTGTAGTTTGGAGGCCTGGCAGGTCTCAACACAGATAGTTCTTGCTGCCTGCCAAGATGGCAGTGATGGACGTCTTGTGAGCCTGGATGGATGGTGTGATGTGTTGGCTATTCTGTAGACAGTGTACCCAATGAGTTTTCTGGGCGTTGGTTGACCAGGGCATCCAGAAAGTGTATTTGGCGCTCCCTTTCCAATTTTCTGGAAAACATTATATTCATGTGCCTGGAGTTCATACGGCCGAGGAAGTCCTTGGGAGCTGCCCACTCACAGGCTACTTACTTGCCCTCCCAACAAACACATATTCATCATGAAGATTGCAGCTGCAGTGTTTGCTGAGATGCTGGATAACATTCAACATGGCTCATCCCCCAAAAGCCAAAGTCATACATCATGTTATGTTACGCTCATTTACTTTAATTAAAGAAACGCCTTTTTCGTACGATTAATTATTCGCGTTAACTCGGTTTTCAACAGCCGAAAACGTCGCGTGCTTTTTACGTGAAGTTAATGAAACATTTGGAAGTTTTAGGAACTGAAATAAATATATTTTATTTTTGTATTATAACGACAGAGTTCTGTCGTTAAATGTGTGCATGGAATCTGATTTTCTGCGTGAAGCATGTGCACGGCAAACACTGAGCTCTTAGCTGTGTCTGTGACCGACACAGATGTGAACTTGCCGCGGTAAATAAACCTAACCTCTGTCAGCCGTGCATTTTGGGCTACACGAAGTCCAGCTGGTCATGCACTGCACTAACATTCCATTCAACCATTAACCTGTAGTTGAAAAATGTTAGTTCGCAGATTGTATTATGGGGTTTACGTCTGTTCCCATAACACAAACATTCAACTCCTGTTTTAGCTTGCAATGAGAAGGTTATTTGTATTTGACAGTATTCTCTGTATGAACAAATAGAAATATTATCAAGCAGGAATTGGTTGGAGAGAGAAAATATTATTTGTGTTATTTGCTTGAATTTGTGCAGGAACATTTATTTATACGAAGCACTTTTACAAACAAGCAAAATATATCGCGCTAACAAAATGCACGTTTAAATTGTAATATCAAAAAATGAACAAGAAATTTCTTGATACAAGTCATAAAAAACTATTTTCCTAATTTTATAAATGTTTTGTTTTTAATGTTACATTTAGATAGTTTTAAGTTAATAATTTAGCAGTGACATTCAGCGAGTTACCGTTATGTACTTGTGCGCAGATAGACATTTTGCTGAGTCCCACTCAGACCACATTTTATTTATTATTTTGTGCAATTTTAAATGTTTTTCAGAATGTCATTACTAACCATTAGGACCCATTATTAGTAGCATTTTATTTTTGAGAGTAACTTAATTAGTTATATCTGCCATCTTCGTTAAATTTGTCATGAATAACCTCGAAGATTTGTAATTTTTGACGTACAAACAGTAATTATCTCTCGTGCATTCACTGGAGAAGCTGCCAGTCACAAATAGGCTGTGCCTTGTCATTGTCTGATTCTTGCACGGTGATGTCTACTAGCAGTAAAATTGTCATGTCACTGCCAGCATGTTAAAGTGCCATGTCATGTCATTGGTCTGAATCAACCATAAGAAACAAGCTTTGAGAAGAGAATAATCGTACAAAAATTCCGCCGTGTCAAGTATGACGCGTGTTATGCGGTTTCTGTACCTCTGTGTTCACGATACAGCTGACCAGAACATCTACAGAGGTTCTGTTGCGGACAGCGAAGATCTTGTCCCCCCTCCGCTCCCAGAACTGCCCCCAGACTATCCACCCCCACCTCCCCCGCCGCCATTGGAGGCAGACTTGATGAATGGTGGGATTGGACAGCCGTACTGCACGCAGATGGACATCAGCGAGGCGGACGATCGCATGAAGAGGTTTTATGGTATGCTAAACATTTGTTAACAAACCTAAATATATGCGTAGAATTTCAAAATTGTGTTCTGTACGGGCTCGATCCACGTGTATTGATGCGTTTAATTACATAGGTGACCGTGAATCTGTTATGTCCACCTGACACTGTTACGGATGGGAAGAAATGGCAACAGAGTTATAATTTGAGCTGTATACAGCATGAGCACAAATGAACTTTGCATTTTCAAAGTTATACAGAACTTAAATTCAGCATCCTCGGAACTTCACACCCATACCAGTAGATTGAGAAACTCTCAATTATGTTTAAAATGACGTGGGTGATTGTTGTTGTTACAAGACACTGCTGGATGCCACTAAGTTTTGAAAATGGCTACCCCTCAACAGGAGTTGGTGTTCTGTAGTTAGCGAAGAAAGGGTCTGTAACATCTGTGCAACATGCGTTTCGCGCACAACTTCACAAGGAACCACCCAGCCGATTGTCGATTCGCGATCTTTGCCAGAATTGAGGCGGTGAACCACAACTGCCATAATTTCCATCACTAGGGGGCACCCAGCATGAAGTTTGGGACGAGTTGAATTATCATTTTGACATCTGCCCTGTGGCTCATGGAGCACATATCGAGTCTCTGAAATGTGTACGAAACTCAACTGGTGTAGGTGTGAAGTTCTGAGTGTGCCACATTTATTATTTCTGCCATTTTGAAAGTGTAATAATGTTCTTTTGTGCTCACCCAGTATAATATGAGAACTTCTTTTCTTATAATTTTAATTTAATCGTGGATTACCGAGTTGAAATCTATTGAAGTTAGGTTATCCTCAACAGTGCACAAAGTAACCATTCCAGTTGTGTATTATTAACGCATTCACTGCCATGTATCCCATTGGGGATTTAATGCCCCGTGCCTGCCTTCTTTTTTCATGCATGAACGTATTTTCACGTGCGTAGAAATAAACGTAAAATATCTTAGAAATTATTGTGAGTAATTGTATGAAATTTGGTAGATTTCCCCACTAATCCGCGTCAGTCTCGTTTTCTGAGTCGCTTACAGAAACGTGTACCTCGGAATTCTGCTTTGTCCGTTGCGTCATTATTTCCAGCATCTGACACTCCACTTTCATCCCCCACTTCACTGTCACTTGTCTACGCATGACACCGATTGGTCACCAGAAACGTCTTCTGCTAAAGGCTCTCCTGGAACTTCCGCTGTTTAACATTCATTTAAATGTGTCACTTTTCCGTACTTCTCTCAAGTCTTTATGTGCATGAGGCAACTAGTCGAAGATGGACGTCGTCTGGGTTTAGCGCCATGTAGTCTGCTTGAAGTTTACCATCGCTCTATGATACTGTATGGTCCTACAACCCAGAAGACAGCCATCTTTGTACTCAGTGCTCTAAAAACCTCAAATCCTACTGAGGCAACTATTACGTCAAAGCCTCCTTTGTCAGGATGGTCACCGTCTTCGATCCTACATGGCACATTATCCTAGAAGCCTTTTGTCTTCATACTCACTCCGAAGATAACCTTAAATCTCACGAGAATAACGAATATTACGCCGTGATGATGCTGATTTTATGGCAGAATGAATAGCTGTGGATGCATTAGGATGCGTCTTCACAATATTGTTCCTTCCTTTCACTGGAATGAATTCCTTCACCTATAAATATTTTGCTGCGTTTCTACAGAAGTATGGCGTGTTTGTAGTGGAGCACACGCAGTTTCTGTGGAGGTCAGAATCATTAGAGGTTGCAAATTAACTAGTTAAGCACCGAGGTATTAATTTAGACAGCTGTGGAAGAAGACACTGAGCTAATGGATTTTGTAGGTCAGATAGTCTTAATTGTTCCGTCTAGATCACGAAGCAAGAGTTGTTCAAGTGATTGTCAGTCAGTATCTAATTGTTTCCCATACGGA